TGCCAGCTGTTACTTAAATGGTTGAGATGTTCCTTAACCTATCAGATAAATGCCAGCCTGTATCCTTAATGTATCAGATGTGTGTCAGCCTGTATCCTTCATGTATTATGTGTATGCCAGTCTGTGTCCTTCATGTATCATATGTGTGCCAGTTATATCTTAAATGTTTTAGATGTTTGCCAACCTGTATCGTTAACCTATGAGATATATGACAGCCTGTATCCTTAATGTATCAGATGTGTGTCAGCCTGTATCCATGTATTATGTGTATGACAATCTACCCTTCATGTATCAAATGTATGCCAGCTATATCTTAAATGTTTCAGATGTTTGCCAACCTGTATCCTTAACTTATCAGATGTATTACAGCCTGTATCTTTTATGTATCATATGCATGTCAACCTGTATCCTTCATGTAGTATATGTATGCCAGTTTGTGTTCTTCATGTATTGTATGTAAAATTGCCAGCTGTTACTTAAATGGTTGAGATGTTCCTTAACCTATCAGATAAATGCCAGCCTGTATCCTTAATGTATCAGATGTGTGTCAGCCTGTATCCTTCATGTATTATGTGTATGCCAGTCTGTGTCCTTCATGTATCATATGTGTGCCAGTTATATCTTAAATGTTTTAGATGTTTGCCAACCTGTATCGTTAACCTATGAGATATATGACAGCCTGTATCCTTAATGTATCAGATGTGTGTCAGCCTGTATCCATGTATTATGTGTATGACAATCTACCCTTCATGTATCAAATGTATGCCAGCTATATCTTAAATGTTTCAGATGTTTGCCAACCTGTATCCTTAACCTATCAGATGAATGCCAGCCTGTATCCTTAATGTATCAGATGTGTGTCAGCCTGTATCCTTCATGTAGTATATGTATGCCAGTCTTTGTCCTTCATGTATCATATGTATGCCAGTCTATGTCTTTCATGTATCATATGTATGCCAGTTGTATCTTAAATGTTTCAGATGTTTGCCAACCTATATCCTTAACCTATCGGATGTATGACATCCTGTATCCTTAATGTATCAGATGTGTGTCAACCTGTATTCTTTATGTATTATGTGTATGCCAATCTGTGTCCATCATGTATCATATGTATGCCAGCTTTATCTTAAATGTTTTAGATGTTTGCCAACCTGTATCCTTAACTTATCAGATGAATGCCAGCCTATATCCCTAATGTATCAGATGAATGCCAGCCTGTATCCTTTATGTATCAGATGTATGTCAACCTGTATCCTTCATGCATTATATGTATGCCAGTCTGTGTCCTTCATGTATCATATGTATGCTAGCTGTATCTTAAATGTTTAAAATGTTTGCCAACCTGTATCTTTAACCTATCAGATGTATGACAGCTTGTATCCTTAATGCATCAGATGCATGTCAACCTGTATCCTTCATGTATTATGTGTATGCCAGTCTGTGTCCATCATGTATCATATGTATGCCAGTTGTATCTTAAATGGTTTAGATGTTGTCAAACCTGTATCCTTAACTTATCAGATGTATGACAGCCTGTATCTTTAAGGTTTCAGATGCATGTCAACCTGTGTCCCTCATGTATTATATGTATGCCAGTCTGTATCCCTCATGTATCATATGTATGTCAGATGTATATAACATGTTCAGATGTTCCTTCACCTATCAGATGAATGCCAGCCTGTATCCTTAATGTATCAGATGTATGTCAGCCTGTATCCTTCATGTATTATGTGTATGCTAATCTGTGTCCTTCATGTATCATATGTATGCCAGTCTGTGTCCTTCATGTATCATATGTTTGGGAGCTGTATCTTAAATGTTTCAGATGTTTTCCAACCTATATCTTTAACCTATCAGATGTATGACAGCCTGTATCCTTAATGTATCAGATGTGTGTCAGCCTGTATCCTTCATGTATTATGTGTATGCCAGTCTGTGTCTTTTATGTATCATATGTGTGCCAGCTGTATCTTAAATGGTTCAGATGTTTGGCAACCTATATCCTTAACCTATCATATGAATGCCAACCTGTATCCTTAATGTATCAGATGCATGTCAACCTGTATCCTTCATGTATTATATGTATGCCAGTCTGTGTCCTTCATGTATCATATGTATGCCAGCTGTATCTTAAATGTTTCAGATGTTTGCCAACCTGTATCCTTAACCTATCAAATGTTTTCCAACCTATCTCCTTCACCTATCAGATGAATGCGAGCCTGTATCCTTAATGTATCAGATTATGGATTTATGTCAGCCTCTATCCTTCATGTATTATATATTATATGTATGCCAGTATTTGTCTTTCACGTATCATATGTATGCCAGTATGTGTCCTTCATGTTTCATATGTATGGCAACTGTATCTTAAATGTTTCAGATGATTGCCAACCTGTTTCCTTAACATTTTCCTGTGGCAGCCCAAATTTCCCTGACATTCATCCTCCTTGACAATCTCTATTACAAGACCTACCTATTGTATTTATTGTTAATTTGTTCTTGTCCTGAACATGCATAAAATATTTGCCACTGGACATTAAACAACCAACAATCAATCAATCTTATACAATATGTCAAGCTTTAAAACACTAATCTAGAAAAAGTGAATTAATTTAGCTGAGACTATCAAAGATCTTCCATCAACAAATTGCTAAATAATAAAAAAAGATTTCAGTTTTCAGGTTCATGGAAAACTCAATTTGGATGTCAGGTAATATTTTGTAAATGGTGAACAATAAGCAATTGAATAAATTCAAGATATTATTAGGTGTTAATGGTCATGATTATCTTATGTAAAGGGGAATATGTGCACTACATTATGAATTGACAGAAAAATGTGTTTATACAAAAGTAAATGTATTAATGCAAATAAATATCAAATAATGAATTCAGTAATACATCTTACTTACTAGCCATTTCTGTACTAACATTTAACAATATAACAGACCTATCCTTTTTTCTTTATCATTGGTAAGTCTAAGCTTTATTGGTCATTTCTGAGTTGTATTTTCTTTGTTTCTTGCTTTTTTGCTGGTTTGAATGGTTTCCCATATTTGATAGTTGAAATGTTATCTAGTTTTTGTAAGAGTTCCTTAGTTATGTATTCTGAATTTTATTTATTTGATATTTAAGCTTTAAAGTTTTTTCTACAGGTGTCACTTTATAAAAAGTTATTTCAAAATTTAAGCATTGTAGTGCATATAATTCATTTACTAAAGTTGTCCAGATCCTTGTCCCATGTTGTCTTATATCATTTATGTTTAGAGAATTTGGTGTTGATAGCAGCTCTTAAATGGTTTCTGTTTTTAATGTATTCAAAAATATTCAATGCTTTATTTAAAGCAGATTAAAAAAAAACATTGATAGACATTTTTGTCGAGCCTGCGACTTTTGTTGCAAAAGCGAGACATAGCGGTCCTACATTCTGTCGTTGTCGGTGGCGGCATCCACAAATATTCACTCTGTGGTTAAAGTTTTTAAAATTTTAATAACTTTCTTAAACTATCCTGGATTTGTACCAAACTTGGACAGAAGCTTGTTTATGATCAAAAGCTAGTATCTAGAAGGAAATTTTGTAAAAAAAAATCCTGTTTTTCCGTATTTTACTTGGACTTAATTTTTCTTCCAGTTAACATTACATACAGTCTGCAGTTAAAGTTTTTAAAACATTTATTAGATTCATAAACCATCCTGGATTTTTACCAAACTTGGACAGAAGCTTCTTACAATCAAAAGATGGTATCTAGAGGAAAATTTTTAATAATTTTTTCCCCATTTTTGTTGAGCCTGCGACTAACAGCATCGCTGTGGCAGAGGGGGCATTAAGTCTTCGTAACCTGTTGTCTGTACGTCTCAAAATTAGTTTCCGTTCTCTAACTTTAGTTTACCTCAATCAAATTTTTTGAAACTTATACACAATGCTTATTACCACAAAACACAGATGAGGTTAGCATTTTGGTGGTGCCACTTTTACTGTTCTTGAGTTATACCCCTTTATAATGTTATATGCAAGCGGGATATCATCTGTGTCCCATGGACATATTCTCCATTTATTTTAGATTGTGTCACCATGTACTATAAATCATTAAAACACAGTTAAAATATGAACTGCCAGTCCTTTTATGATGCAACAGTTCTTGAACTCAAGTGGTAAGTTTTTTTACAAAAACAATCAATTTATCACTTTTTTAAGATTATTTTTGGAACTGATTGTTGCGTTCTAGCTGACTTTGAAGCTTATAGTAAGGCAACGGTAAAATATTCATTTTTATGTGGTCTATTTTTTGGTTGAAGCTTCAAAGAACTTTTTCTGAATGTGAACAGTAAAGAAGAAGCCTTGTGTAGGGAGAGTGATCTCTGCACGTTAAAGAACACTTGCAACAACTCTCTGAGGGTCTGTAGGTTACCTGTTGCAAGGCAAAATTTCTGTCCCTCTCAAAGTTGCCCCTTTTTCCTAATGGTAGTTTAAATTTAAACCCTTCAACCTTGTTTACCCACTTTGCAAAACCTACCTACTGGAATTATTGTCCTGAATATGCATGAAACATTTGGAAATTAACTGGCTGCAATGAGATGGAATATTATGAAAGATTTATTATCCTAGCAAGAGATCTCCATGGCCAGAGCAAAGGCCTGATGGAAGATGATATGGTTTTCATTGGTGATGAGACTAATTTCAACCAGAAAGATGGGTCATTTCAGATGTATCAAGAAATCAAGGCTTTTCCATGTTTATTTTAAAGTATTCCATTTTGTTTATATAATTTTGCTTGCATAAGTTGTTATATTGAGAAAATGTAATTAAGACAGCAACCTAACAGAAGATATTGTAAACTGGTGAATAAGAGGTAAAATTATATTTGATTATTCACAGTAATGCATTGCTAATTGAAAAGTTAATGAGCAGAAAATACTAAGTAAATTTTTTTTTTACACTTTAATTTTAAATTTTTATTGCATATATTTATTCAACATTTTGTAGATTTCCCATTAATGGATTATAAAAAAAAAATTAAATGCCAGTGGTGAAATATATTTTATTTACAAAAGTTATTCCATCCTTTTTCAGATGTAGAGATCACACAAAAAGGAAAATTTAATGTTGCTGCAGGACTAGAAAAATTTGATAATGTTTTATCTCCGGTTCGTTAAAAAATATTTTAATCGTAAAGAGAGCAATGGTTTTGTCAAAATTTTGTGACATAGAAAAGTGGATGGTGATTATTTTATACTGGAAAACATTCAAATTTAAATCTGTTGTAAAGATTAATTTTAATTTTATAATTGGGAAATCAGGGTGGATTTATCTTCTTTTGGAGTAAAATGCTTTTGATATTGCTATGGATTTTAAATTACTGTAAATTCAGAAATTATTGTTTTTTTTCCTCCCAATGTAAATAGTGTGACTGGGTGAGTATAGCAATAATAAGAACTTGAATTCTGATATAGGATAGATATATATATGTATGCAGATTTTTCTGGAATCGCAATAATTAGTCTCATTTTCCAGCCGTTCATCAAAAATCACAATAATAAGTTTATAGCTAACTATTTACATCCTTTTTCAGATGCCGACATCACACAAAAAGATTAATTCAATGTTGCTGCAGGACTTTGCTGTTTTATCTCAGGTTTGTTAAAAATATTTAATGTAAAGAGAACAATTATTTTGTTTTGTTGCTTTGTCAAGTTTACTTATATCTTTAACGGGAAGTAACTAATGAACATAAAGTTTTGCAAAAACTAACATGATTTTTAATCAAAATTCTGTTACAATAAAAGAATTATTACAATTAAGGATGTTGATAATCTTTTAAACTGGAACACCTTCAAATCTAAATCTATATCAAGGAATTGAAATTGTTTAATTTGTAATTCAGCATTCAGGGTGAATTTAACTTCTTTAGCAGAAAACTAATATTGATGTTGAATTGGACCTGAGATCATTTACCTATTAATAGTTAATATTTTAAGATATATATAAACTTACTTTTTATTTTCAGTGTGGAACAGAAATTGAGATACATTGATGTCAAAAATTCTGGAGACTTGAGAATGAGAAACAACATTTCATCAACAGAACTGTTAGTAGCATATTTTAAATTCATTTAGGAGATAATTTTCATTTTTGATGCATCCATTCAATCTTTGTATTAAATAGACACAAAGAAAAGTCAGGTGCCATTTCATGATTATAATTAGAAGAAAGCGTGAATGAAATATTTCAAAGTTAAGTTATAGGAATGAAACTTTGAATATCATTAAAATCAGATCATATGCAGTTCCAATTATATCATTTATTTTAACTTTAAGCATTTTTGTTGTTCTTTTTTTCTTAAAGGAAACTAAACTGGGACTTTTTGTTTTTTCAGGATGAAAATAGCAAACAGGAAGTTGTCAAGAGATTGTTACCTCAAGTCTGAAAAGGTTCAATGCAAATTAAACACGAGGTAATCTTTTCTTAAATTTAAACAAATATTTTAGAAGGTTGATATGTATTATGGTCAAGTGGTCATATGTATCAATAAGACCCAGTCATCTAGAACTCTCTTATTTTTTACTAATATTGAAAAAATACATAGAAAAAAAAAATACAATCTGAATAATGGATGTGATATTCTGGAGAAATTGTTCAATTTTCAAAAATTATCTTTAGAACACTGAGCAACGTAAGCTGATTTTTTAGTGCCTGCTCAGACAGATTGGATTACTTTTACAGAATATCTAAAAAAGAAAAGAAAAAAAGACATAAAATCCAGAATAGAAATGAATTATATTCTAATATTCTACTGCTACCAATTAGAAGTTGAAGAATAAATATAAGTATCTCATGACAGTAAAATTTATTTTTTCAGCTTCATTCAATGCTGGCCTCTGTATTCACAAAGTGCCATGATTAGATGAAACTTGATGGGAAGAAATTTACTTGATGTTTGGGTAAGTCAGCATTACTACAAAAAAGCTACACAAATGCATTGTTAAAGAGACAGGTATCCTTGTATTAAATTTCCTTGTTAAAGAATTTAGATGACAGTTATTTCCCTTATTTCTACCAGTTTATATATTTATAGCTTCAAGGGGGGGGGGGGGGAGGGGAATGCATTGCTGAAAATTATTTCAAGGGAGACAATTTGAGTGATTTTATTGTCTTCAGGATTAATTTATAAATACAATGGTTTACAATAATCAAATCAGATTTGCTAATAGACCCGAAATAACATCATGATCTTACTGCAAGATTGATTTTGTATGCAAGAACCACCATTTGAAACATTTTCATATTCTTAAAACCAAATATTTGCCGTCTGGCTTGCATTGTAAATGGATATTCATTGGACACAAAATGGTATAAAAATCAAGAACCTTTTTGACTTAGCAGCAAATATTGTGATACAGAAATATTTTTTTTCTCCTTTTTATACTTAAGAATTCCATTTGTAGGTTATGTTTGATGGTTCCAATTCTGGATATTTTGGAAAAAAAGGTGAAAATGAAGGAAGGACATCAACACACACACCATCAGTTTTAAAAGAGAGAGACTCGGTTACAAAATATAATGCCAGAACTAATTTGCTGTGATAGTATATGGACTAGAAATACTAATTGGCTCCGGAACAAGTTGTGCAAGGGAAGAGACTTAAAATAAAACAACAGACTCAGGAATATGTTGTGCAAAACAAGAAACTTTTATTAAACAACAAAACAATAGGATATAATCAGTGATGAAATAAAAACTTTGTTTAGCATGAACTTTTTTATTTATTAGTTATAAAATTGAGGAGAGAAAGTCAATTATAATTTTCAAAAATGATTTTCAGAAATGTGTGAAAGGAACAGAGAGAGAGACAGCTAGGTTTTGTCATGATTAAATTTGTTCATTTTAAAGCTCACTGCTTATCTTCAATGTTTGATTAAAAATTTGTTTTTTTCTTTAGATCTGTTGAGTCGTCATGTTAAAATGTGAGAGAGGAAGAATATTCAGTTGTAAATATTTATCCTGTTTCAACCATAAAGCTCATAATATTATTACCATTTTTTTTAACAAGCAGTTTGACAATAGACAGTCACTCCTGGTTTTTTTTTTTTTTTTGCATTTATGGTTTAGACAAGATTAGTCTAAGAGGAAGGAAAAATGCAGTGTATGAAAGAGAGAAAGAAGGACTATGTAAAGGTCTATTCTTTTTCAGCAAAACAGCAGGTTCTTCGTTACAACTTTTTGTATTGAGATAATCAAGCACCTGCCAATTTGTTTAAATTGGATAAATCTTGGATGAGTATAACATTGTGTATGGAAAACTGTATCTTTAAATATGCATTTCAGACACACTTAGAATATTACATATTAGAAAATTTAGATGCTAAATATTCATTTTATATCTAAATAATCACAATCATGCTATATATTAAGTGTATCATTTTTCTAAATATTTATTTTCAAGTTTTCAACACAGGAAGTGTAATCTAAGTATGATGAATGAGGAGCTAATAGGTTTAAAATGGGCAAGGGGAGGGAATATACATATTTACCTCCTAATACTGGTTGCTTCCTTTGATGAAAGTTGATTTATTATACAGTATATTTAAGGGTTCATCAAATGTTATCAAAATTTGCCATTTTAATTGTAGAGCTTAGTAAAAAAAAAAAAAAAAAAAATAAATAAAAGAAACAAAAATTATAAAAAAGAAGAAACACTGTTATCTAAGTTCTAGGAAATGGCAGTATGGGTTGTTCTGAAATTTATAAGATGTATTGGATCCAAAAGTCTTCTTATAACTTAAATGCATCTGGTGTGTGTGTGAGGGAGCAAAAAATATTTTGTGAAGGTTTATTCTCTTTCAGCCAAACAGCAGGTGCTTCTTACAATTTTCAGTAGATGTCTCAAATGAGTTACCGAAACCTGCCAGTTGGTTTAGATAAGATAAATCTAGAAGCAGAAGATAGTATTTTTAGATGCTAATTTTTATTTGATTTTTTAGGCTTGAATCTATGAACAAAGAATATACACACTGAATATGACATGGATTAAAATTTTATTAATCAGCTCTCATTTTTTTTTAAACATTACAGTCCTGTTCTATTCTATGTGTATTATATCATTTTTTAAACTTTTCAACACAGAAAGCAAAATCCAGGTGTGATGAATGAGGAGCTTAAATAGAGTGAAGTTTAAGGCAAGGGGAGGGAATACACCTATTTACCTCCTTATTCTGGTCGCTTCCTTTGGTGAAAGGTAATTAATTAGACATCTATAGGAGCACATCAGATGTAATCAACATTTGCCATTTTGAAGAGCTTAGTAAAAAAAAAAAGTAAACTAAGTTCTAGGAAATAGCAATATATGGGTTGGTTTGAAATTTAATGATATCGTTTGGATATAAAATTCTTTTTACAGTTTTAATTCATCTGATTTGCATATGTGATAGAGAGAGAGAACAAGACTTTGTGAAGGTTTATTCTGCTTCAATCTAACAGCAAGTGCTTCTTTCGTCTTATTGCAGTCATCTCTTATGAGCAATTTTCAATAAAATAACTAAAACCTGTTAATAGATTAAGATTGAATAAATCCAGAAAAAGGGTCAAGTATTTTCAATCTAATTGAAAGTACTAAAAAATCAATTATTTTCATTATTTGGATTAAGTTAATATTGTTTTATTATAGACATTTTTCATAATTAGTTGTTAGATGAAGATGGAGACCATGATATTTTATTAAAACATTCAAATGTTTTTTTTTTTAAATTAAAAATTCTTTGCTGATAATTTTTAAAAGAAGCTATTACAAATTTGACAAATATTTACAATGGAATGAAAAACAGCTATTATCTCCCTTTATCAAGACACACTTTTTACAATAAAAGAAAACATGTATAAGAAAGCGAAAATATTTTAATAATTTCTAAATTTGCATATTTGTACTTTTTTTTTTTTTTTTTAACTCATAATGATTTTTTTTTTAACACTAGCTCATGATCTTTGCTAACTATTTTTTGTTCACAACACATGGAAAGTATACCAATTCGTTTTTTTTCTGTCTTTGTATGCAAAGATGAGTGTTTTTAAGAATAATTTACTCTTTTTGTATTACAAAGTTGCAATCTAACCAAACCGTTCACTGATTATTACCAGCTAGAGACCATTTGTTATATATATATATATATATATATATATATATTAGACATGTTTAGACTTGTTCATATATATATATATATATATATATATTGCCAGTAATAAAATTTACTTAAGAGAAATGCAGTCAGCTTCTATGTTAATATGGAATAAATGAAGGCTTTTTGTGTATGGTAATTGAAATAATAATATTCATTGATAAAAATTATTGAAAATTAGCAGTGATGGCTTGTTGTCCTATTATATCCCTACTCTAAGAGTTGGGCTATATTGCATTCACCTTGTCTGTCCCTCTGTCTGCCAGTTTGTTCAACAAATATTTCTGCCTCATTTTTCTCGGGTACCGCTGAACAGAATGACTACCATTTTGGTCAAATGCTTGTCAGTGATGAGTTGTAACATGTGAGCATAAGATCTGTCAGACACCTACTTTTTGTTTTCTGATACTTTGAATTTTAAAAACTGGTGATAAGATAATTTTAACAGTACATTGTCAATGATATTTGGTACACATTTATACCAGTTATATCCATTTTATTGAAATTTTTTGGTGTTCAACAACTGGTCCCCTTGGAAAAGCTAAAGAATAATGTTTTGTTCTATCCCAATTTACATCTGATGGTACCAGTCTTGTCACTAGCCTTTCAACTTTAATGTGAGTCTGACACATGGTCATGGCAAGGGTTCGACTCCAAACTTGATCAACAATGATTGCAAGAGTTTTCCTGCTACCAATAATAAACTAACTGTCACATATAGCCAAGATTACTGAAAGTGCTGTTAAACACCAACAAACTTATCAACTAGTTTTGTACTTATGAAGGGAAATAAAAAAGTCATATATTTTCTGATTATTGATTGCAGTAATTTTTTTCTGTTTGATTTAAAATTCATGCTGAATTGATTGATTGATTGATATTTGCCTAACGTCCAGTGGCAAATATTTCATACATTTTCAGGACGAATGCTGAATTGAATCTGAATGGGGGAAAACAATTGGTTTTTTGGTCATATTACATGGAAAGTGAAAGAATGTCTTGTTTACTGAGAGTGGTGCAGCCTTTTAAAAGTGAAACCATCTACTAGGCAGTGTCACGGTGGAAAAATGGACAAAATTTGATTTTGAACCTTTTCGGATATTTGTAACATAATTTCGTAAAATCATTGTTTTTCTTGTATATGAAATATTTCTCAGTGATTTTTGTCTCGCCTTGACGGAGTCAAAAACCGAGACATAGGTATGCTGTTTCCGGCGTCTGCGGCAACGGCGGCGGCAGCCAGGTCTAGTTCATGGTGAACCACTATAGTGGTAGGTCAATGATATTTGGTATGCAGTTGCATTAGCATTGGCACATCTCATTACCATGGAGATTATTTGGCCCCGCCCCCTCAGTCAAGGTCTATTGACTTTGAAACTTTGCGCAGTTTACATGTATTAGTTTGTGATTAGGTCAGTTTGTGAGGAACCACTAGTGGTATGTCAATGATATTTGGTATGCAGCAGTTTGTTTTTCAATTAGCTACATTTACTTCAATCTTACCTATTATTCTTTTATCTATTTAATTCGATAAATAAGTCTGTAAGTTCTATTGTTAATTATTTTGCTGTGTGCTAATTTTTCTATAACCCGTTAATTTGTATTTGTCACTCATTTAGAGAAATATTTGTCAAGTCTGTTCAAGTAATTTTTAGTTTGTCATATAAACTGTTTTATTATTTCGATATGGCAGATTGGATTTAGTATTACACTGAGCAGTTCGAACTCTGTACAATAGTATTGTATGCTGAACTATTAAATCACATATCGCGGAAACCAGAGTCGTCATATGTTGCAAGAGTTAGTCCCAGAGTCAGAGTCCGTGCAGACTCGTATTGTTTATTGTGTGCGTGTGTGGTTGCAGACCAACACATAACCCAGTCACAAGATACACCCAGTTTCTATTTGTGACAACAGCATGTGATCGTTGTGGGTTGTGGCAATTTTAATTTTCATGCCTAAAAAAATCACAGTATAACACTACATTATACAATATTTGTGCATGAGAATTTTTTTCTGTTAAGCATTTCTTTGAATTTTTTTTAAAGATGAGCAGTTTTGAATGTTAGCTAGCTAATAAGCTGTCAATTACAAGACAGGAAATTGGGTAGGAATATTTTATTTATTGCAGCATTTTCACTGTCTAGAAGTTTGTAGCCTATCGGAGCTATTGTTTGCACAAAATGACAAAAAAAATCTTGATTTTAGTACATTCAAGCTCAATGTTGCGCCAAATAAACTGAAATTACTTTTTTCTTTATCATTTTCTTGGTTCAATGATACACATATACGTAAAATACATACAAGATGAACTAACATAAACGATTTTCACAAAATTTGAATTTTTCTTGAGTCTTTGACCTTTTTTTCCATACTGTTACATTGCACAGTTGAGTCAAAAATTCAATCTTTTTGGCTAAAAATTTGTTTTAACAAGTAGAAATTGTTTAACACTATTCATGCTGTCTGTCTGTCCGTCCGTCCGTCCGTCACGATTCGGAAGACCCTCATATTAACTATAGGTACTTGGGGAAAGCATATTTTTTTTTAGCTCTCCCCTTTTTTCCAAAATATATCAGTGACTGTGGATAGTAAACTTGGAATTGATAGTAAATAGCTAAGACACATTATTTCTAGTATTTTATTTTCATATAAAACACAAAAACGCAAAAATAATCGAAATTAATAGAAAACAAAAAAATAACGGATTTTGGAAAAAGGGGGAAGGCTAAACAAATCAAAGTACTGAAGTACTGAACATCGGATGACCGCAAGTTCTTGTCGATGGTCACAAGCACTTGTCTCAGAAAAAAATCACATCTCTATAGCTGAAAGTTAATTTAATGTACAGAGAGATATTTTTTCTGAGACAAGTTCGTGCGTGGATGATGAATAAATGACAGGGAATTCAACATCACCGTAATAACTATTATATTGTAGTGATATGAATCAGTATACTTTGGTTTGTTGTTATATATTATATCAATATTTGTATATAACAGTTACATGTATATATAATTTTCATCCATTTGTATATCATTCTATTCTACTATTCTAATAATAGTGCAGTGGAAGTGCATGGTGGATACTCTTTTGTAATAATTCGATTTTTCTAATAGATTGGATTTGAGTAGGCATTCATATTTTCCCGCAAAACGTTCTTGAGATATTCTTCCGCATGCGTTAACACAATTTTTCTGTACGTGTGCATAGATATTAATGATTTTTTACTTATATATATATATATATATTTCTAACGACAAAACATTTTCATATTATTAATTTATGTTCTTAAAAATATATTTTTATGAGTATTCATCGAAGAAATGAATTTATAACAAGCGATAAGGAATGTTATTTTGCACTCGATAATGTCCGCGTATTTATAGATCGGTTACCAGTCAAAAACGAAAGTTACGTCAGTAGAAATCTCTGTGGCAACAATACATCGGAATGCCCTCACGATCATCGCGATGTAAAAATTGTCCTGTTCCCAAGTACATATGTGCAATCACAATAACCTCTAACATGTAAGAGCTTAAAAAATCTATTTTTACAATAATATTAAATCTGTTTAATTTTGTCCTTTTTCTTTTTAATAAATATTTAGAATTTCTAAAATCACCAAATAGTATTTTTTTACGGTTAAAACTATTTCCAAACTTAATTTCAATAACTGTACAAAGGGAAACAACTCATTCTTAAAAAAATACCAAAATCTTCATCTCTCATGTTAAGGTGTGAAATATGAATGAGCCAGTTGGAAAAAAAATGTAAGGTTTTTTTCAACCTTGTCTTATGTTTTAGATAGGAGTGCAATTTAGGAGTGAGAGAATGTATGCAAGAAACCTAGATTATCTGAACTAAACTATACTATATAATTACATTTTGATAAAAAAATCTTAACTGCATAAAACTTCTAAATAATACCAAAAAAATTGATTTTGTATAGAGATTATATTTTAAATTACATGTCCGTTGGGCATAAATATGATCATTATTTTATATATGATGGACAATCAACTTTTCTTTTATAATGATCGGCAAAGAAAAGGTGCATTAAGCATATTTAGTTATGATACCTACATGTTCATTTCTGTATATCCCTTCAACTTTGTAAATTTAAAAGTAAAAAGGAATTTCTTTTATATTTTCTTATCATTTGTATTTATTTAGATATGAAAATAAAGAGATGTTGAATGATTGCCAATGAGACAACTATCAATAAAGACTAAATGACAAAAATACAGTTCATCATACGGCCTTCAACAATGCCTGAGCTAAACCCATACCGTAAAGTATCTTTAAAAGCCCCAAGAATGACTAAATGTGAAACAATTCAAACAAGAAAACCAACAACCTGATTCATTTGCCCTCATGTCAATGATGTCTGTAAGCTGAACATGAATTGTAATCAAACTGGACAAAAATATCGCAGATTGTGAGTTATTGGTAAAAAACATACTTCAAATTATGTATAATACATGTAATTGAAAAGAATTTGTACACATTAATTTATCTTTACGCAGTTTGGTTTGATAACTGATAGTTTGGCAATATGTTACTGCAACCGTGCCATATTACAAATTATGTTTGCCTTTGTATGTAAGCACAAAAAGACAAGCTATTTTAATTACCGTTTACAGGGTAACACAATCAAAATGGTACTCTCCCCTTTATTGCATATTGTATCCTATTTATGTGTAATGTTAAAATTACAAGTATAATTCATATATTGAGATATGAATTCAGGTCCCTTTACAAATAGATCCGTTTACAGACGAAAGTTCCTACTCAGAAGAAAAAGGTAAAATCACTGTGAGACACGGTACTTCTATGATTTTTGCCAAAGTTTGACACTTAACTTATTAAAATATAGTTTAACACAGTAGCATATTTTATTATTAACATTCATAGTACTTTGTTTAGAGAACTAACTTTTATAATACTATTTGAGCACAAGTATAGCCTTAGTACCTATTTTAATCAGTCAAAGTAATGGGAGAAACAGTTTTATATGTCCGTAATATGGATTAAATGTACTCGGTTTTACTCTGTTTAATTATTATCCCATGAAAAACTAGCTTACAAATATTTTGAATCACTTGAATCACG